AGGCTCCTTTCAAATTCTTCAAGACAAATGTGTTCAATTTTTTCATTGCTAAATTTAGTACCTTCAGTTGTCATTCTTAACATGGTTTCAGTCCCAACTGAAATAGGCACCTCTTGGAGAAGCATTAAGACAGAACACCATAACTGGCTTGCTTGGCTGTTAGAGATGGATTGTAATTTCGGAGCATCTAAAGATATACCAAAAATGTGAACTTCTCAAGATTAAATTAAAATCTATTTTAAAAAATACAATGGACATTGAAAATAATACCATTTTAGTCAAAAACTAATGCCAATAAAACAACTTCAAAGAAAAAGGAACCTTTTCGATTATGATGCCGCAAACCCTCAGTACACAAAAGAGCTTTTGAGTCACCAACATTAGCAGCTAAAACATCACCATCAACTATCAGAACAACAGTGGCAGTAGAACCCGACTCGAGATTTTTCTGCAAAGCTTCCTGCAAAAACTTAAACATGGGAATTGTTTTAGCATACAGGATGCAGCATTCATAAATTACAAATAACATTTCAGAATTGAAAAGTGCTACTTTCCTTGGAAAATGTTGCATCAATATCCTGGATTGTCCTCAACAATGATTCCTTTAATATTTCCATATGAAAAGTCCTGTCAAATATTCTGGCTGGTATCCAGTTGGACCTGCAATTTTTCCATAGTATAATTCCACTTGGAAACAGCAACAAACTGCAACTCAAAGCCCCAAAATTAATGGGCACTGACAATCAAGGAAACAATGGTCAAATATTAACATTCCAGACACTTTACAAGATCAAAAACTGCCTATCATAGTGCAAAATGGGGTGTTCAGAAAATATAAAAGGGAGGGCCAGAAGTATTGGCAAATTTTGCCTGAAATATCAGCTGCCTGCTTTTGATGTGTAGCTGTGTGTACAATATCAAACAGTGAAAAGTATCCATATGCATTGATCAGTAACCTTTTGATAGACCAAACTGGCCTTTTCTGATCCAAACAGATTGATATGTTACAAATTATATTAGAATTGTTGTACCCAAACAAATTAAGTTAGGACTTGAAGGGCAAACTGGTAATTATGCATCTTGATATCATATTGGATGGTTGAAACAGTGATTGTTGTTGGGGAGTTATGATAGATTAGATAGTATCCCTCTTTTCAACAGAATATTACATGATTCCCTTTTGTTTTCTCCTTTCTTGCAATAGTTTTCCTTGAGGAGTAGAAGATGGAGGCTCTTTGGGTGGTGATTGAAGAGGAGAAGGATGAGATTGTACACAACCCTTAACAGGTAGGGATCTTTTAGGTCTTTCTTTCTCTCTAGCTTGTTGTGTCCACTGTACAAATGATTTTGGTATGATCTCATGAACATCTCTCTTGCTATATATCTCGATAAAGAATGTATCTTCTTTTATAGTATATATTATGCATGAGAATATTCATCCAAGAAACCCGATGCATGTATCTTCTTTTACATGCTTCAAGGTATCTATAGAAAAGTTCAAACAGATGACTAGATCAGGTGCCATATGCATAGTATTGGGGAACCACTTCCCATAAAAAGAACAAAAAAAAAAAACCAAGATCAGTATAGTTTATTGATACATTTCTAGCATGAAATGCTTCGACATGTGTCAATCAGCATAGTAGTTCTTGAAATCAGCCATTAGGATGGGTTGATAGGTCTTTTATATTAAAATTTGGTAGGGTGTTGGACATAAATGTCATATTTAACCATTATAAAGCCAATAATCTTAGATATTATGTTGCAAAAAGTGGTTTCAAGTTGCAACTAACTCTCTCAGGTCACAGGGTGACACTAAGGGAGTAGGAACATGACAAACAAGTATCAAACAAATCAATCCTGGGTCATAAATTATAGCATATCCTATAAATTATGACAAACACATGATATACAAGGAAATAGATTACCTTTCTGGATCGGGAAAGTGCCAGTTCTCTGTTTTCTCGAGACTAACAATTTCAAAAACCATGCTGTTTTCTCCATATGTCAACTTGTCATTAGATTTCTTTAGAACCACTGAGTATATCCCATCCAAAAGAAAATAGAGGTGGAGAAGAAAGTATTCAACCAAAAGCTTGGAAGCCATATCACTAGCCTCAGCCCCATTGTGTCCATCAAAAACAGCTACTAGTCCAACGTCAAGCTCCTTGATTCCTGTTCTACCTATCCAATAAAAAGCCAACTAAATTAAGGATTCAAGTAAAGGTAATTTGATCTCATCATCCTTATAGTTTCATAAAGATTTTGCATCAAATTAATTTGAGTTCATGTTGGATTTACGATCAAAGTAATACTGAGGGAAGGAACGAATCCACGGAGCAAGAACCTAACATTCCAACCGATTTGAGAGAAGGAACAAAACAGCCAAATTCGAAACCCCAAGTAAAAGCGTGCCGTGAAGCAACCGCGTACCAATGAAGGGGATCCTCATGCCAAGGGCGCAGACGATGCGGTCCTCCTGGGACCGCCGCCGCCCCTGGTGCAACGCCGCCTGGCAATTCGGCGGCGGGCGGCGGCGGTCATCATCGGCGAGGAGGGTCCATCGCGGGCACTTGGGCGATTGGAAGACGGCGGGGGCGCCGCCCTCCCTATAGACGGCGAGGCATGTGAGGGATTCACCGAAGGACAGCGAAATCGAGCGGAGGAAGATGAATCCGTAGAATAGGAAGCGATGAACGTACATCTAGATCGAATCGAGAAAGGCGTGGGAAGAAAAAGGGACCGAGAGGCAGAAAATGGATCAAAATTTCCAAAACCAAATTTTGCACCAACGTTGAGATCGTTTTATATAACGAGTAAGACCGACACTGTTAAGGAATAATTTCTTATAATCCTTCCCTTAAGTTACGTGTATTTTTATAATAAGGCTAATTACATATTATTTGTTATTTAGTATCCAAATCCTTAAATTTTAAAAAAAAATTATATTAATTTTTTATTTTGATCCTTACTCTTAAAAAATTTGTAGTCGACGAAAATGATGCACGAGTCGACCTTATTAATATCATGAATGATATAAAAATGATAGATAAAAAAGATAATTTCGATTTGATATATATCTTCTTATTACATTAAATAATATACATGTCAATTTGAGATCTATTACTTTATACAATAATATACTAATATTAACCTATTATATTAAATTACATGAGCTATTGTATTAAACTTAACGAACAAGTTTGACACCATTAAATAATAATCTCTTGTAGTTCTTTCGAGAATCTATAAATTATGCTAGTTAGTTTAGTGGGTAAAAACTTATAGTTTATTCGAGAATCTTGTCTTCATTATATATCTTTAAAAAAAATTATATGTTCAGAGTAAATCAGACAAAATACTTACATTGAATCATACATGTTGCAAAACAAAGTTAAAAAAGAGATCATGAATTGATCGATAATCTTTCTGAAATTAATAATAATTTCAGTGTAAAAAAAAATAGAGTTGGGTAATCGGATAGAGATAAATATTTTTTTATTTTTATTTTTTTTGAAAAATGAATACGTTGAAGGAGGCCTTGTGAGAGAGAAGTGAGCTTCTGAGGTCAAGCGACCATCTCCATGAGGTCGAAAAGACCTTCAATTCCCTTACGTGAGCTTATCCTCGACTACGGAATCACAATGATCGTGCCGATCTAGAAATTGAAGATGGTGGCTAATATTTTCTGACGCCAATGGTAAAGCTGGCACTGTTTATTGTTACTTTGAGGATGGTGCCATGGCACATCCGACCTTATATGTTTGGGGAATTGTTGGGCATTGTGTTAATGGGGAGAGGTGGAGTTGTCTACACCTCAATGGTTGATTGGTCACACACAAGATCAGAGCTTTTTTTTTTCATTGAAGATTTGGCTAAATAATATAGCTTCACTTATTAACAAGTTATAAATATGAAAACGAAGAGAAAGAGAAGTTATTTGATGTATTTATTGAAACTTAAAAAATCAAGAGCAAATTACTTAAAATTGTTTTAAGTTTTCTTTCTTTTTTTTCCCTAACATCTCTTTGTTTTATTAGTACATATTATTTTTTATTTTTTAAAATATGATATTATCTTTTATCCCTTTCATGATCGCTTGTGCCTCCTATGATGACCTCCTCCATCACATCCTCACGATGGCTACTAAAACCTTTAAGCATATTCATGCCCTCGTCCGCTACAATCGTTGTATCGGCATCCTCTATCACATCGTTGCTTCGCCAACAACCTCTCCTCATCGATAACATAGTTTTATCATAACTAGTCAAAGTGTAGCCCCATCGAAGATAGTGACGTAGGCGACATAGACCCATATGAACTCATCTACATCCAAGCAATAATATATAATTTTGATCTTAAGGTCGCTAGCACAAAAGAAACACCGAAAGTATTTTAAAGAGAGATGTAGGAGAAAGACGGGGAAGTGACGCCCCAACTATTGACGAAGCAATAATACAGCGGAGAAGGTCGACATGATAACAATGATGAATAAGATTATGCTAAGGGCCTTAGAACATGATGAAAGAGGCCATCATGAGAGGCGATGGCCAAATATGCTCTGCCTCTTGGGGCTTTTTGTGTTTTTGAAGAATTTACGTGTTAAATGCCCATGTCACCGGCAAAGCAAATCCTGAGGTGTGCTCCGACTAACTCTTAGCTTGGCAGAATTTTATTCAAAACGTTAATCCAAGATCGATTGAGATAATAAAATATAAACAAAAATTAGGAAGCTACTTGAAATTCTTCCCAAAATTAAAGAATTAACAATCTAATTAGGAGTTCTCTGCTCCTGTCATCATCTTACCAGAGTCGAAGATTATAAAGAATTGCACCTATCACGGGCGGCTGGCGGCCACTATCAACATCATTAAAGCAAATAGAAGCACGAACCAGTATCTAGATTCATATAGATGCCTAGAACACAATGCTATGGCCACAATACTATCACAAGCTTTGCCATCTGACTGCAATTCAATCTCCTGAGTAGCATGCAAACATCAGAAACATCACTGCACTAAATCACTTTTATTTTTATGAAACAAACCATCAGGTTTCCTCAACCCACTTCATAGAGTAAACATGAAGTTACATTTTGTTATACAAGTTTCGATACCATAGCTGACATCAAACTCAAGTTCGTAGACATTTACCATCATTGATTATCATTACCAAAGCACATTATCTTTGCATTTCTGGGATTTGGTTCTGAGTTGCCATTACTGAGCTTCAACAGCCGGCCCACCAAGCTCATTCTGGACAAACGTTTCGAGATAAGCTTTCCTGCAAACATGCCAATGATATAAGAGACTTGAATCTAAAGGGAAATGGAGTATTGACAAGAATAGGGACTAAATTAATGTCAACCTAGCAGGGAGATCATCATGAGGACGGTTAAAGGGAGTCCAAACTGGCTCACCAACAAAGAGTCGCATTGCCTGCAAATACAAATTTAATTTTCGGAAGCATATTAGTACTGGCACATTGGCATTCATGGAGAAGTGGAGAACTATTTTGGGTCTGCATAATATATTCCCCCACATAAGAAGAAAAGCAGCAAAATCAGGATAACAAAAATTTATACCACAGCATAGAGGTCATGTCTAACGTGCTGAGAGATGCTTCATCAACAATCACGAGAAGGAATAAAAGGTGCTTTGTCTTTCTTTTTTTAGCTGTGCTCATCTTCTCCTACCTCCCTTCTCTTCCCTCTCATAATCAATCTCACCATCAACCGACAACAATTCATGGATTGTGAAAGCAAAACAAAGATAAGAGGAGAGGAAATAGAAAGAGGAAGCAGACAACTTTTCCAATTAGAGGGATGCACTCTTCTGATCTGAACCTCAAACTCGGACAATGTCATCCATTGATATTCAAACCTTGTCAACAACCCCAGTCAGAGTCGCCAGGCCCCTCAGTTTTCAAAGCTTATTGATAACATAGCTCACAATCATCACCTTTCATGCAACCCCAATCAACATCCGGTCTAAGCTTAATTTCCTAAGCCCAATCAACCCCAATCAACAACATGCCGCACAATAAAAGAGAGGCTCGTATGTAGGCTTAGTTTCCTAAGCTATGTCAACTTTTCTCTCAAATACCTTTCACGAATCTAGAATAAGACTCTTCCAACATCCTTCTCTAAATAAGAATCTAACAAATTTCCTTCTGATTACAGAATCCTAGTTATAACTGTTGGTCGTCCAAATTGCATGTCATATATAGATTCTTTGATTCATTGGACACAGAAGAACACAAAGGCCAAAAGAAGAACTTGTTTCTAGTTTTGCAAAATCAACAGATAATAGTTTCATCAGCACACGCAGATGTGATACCTTAATATAGTTGTTTGTATCGAGTGTAAAGCGATGATATATTCCAGCAGGTAAGACAATCATGCCCCCTTTCTTCACTGCTATCCTTATCCAGCGGTCACTTTTGTCTCTCGCATCAAAATAGCCTGAACAAACACAAAATAGACAAACAATAAATTAGAATAACAAGGATCAGAAGGCATCGCCTCCCATAGAATATCAAGATGTCCAGTATTAGCCATCCTACCACTCCCTTCAAGGCAATAACGTATTTCCTCATCAGTATGCAGGTGCTCTTCAAAGAAACTCTTCAGCTTAGCTTCATAATTTGGCAACTTCTCTGGGCACACGTCACATATGTCCTGCAAAAGGATTGTCAAATTGACCACTTTTTTTATCAAGGTACTCATAATAAATTAAACGGACCCTCATAGTAAATAGGAAAAAGAACAAACGAAATTAGCGACAAACCATATAAGAATATCCCCTGGCTTCACGGATCTTTTTCAAGTTTCCATCATTTTCATAGTCATCAGGATTCAGGCGCCAACTGACTATTCCTAGTTCTACAGGAAAAAAGAAGAACACAAGCTTGCTAACATGAGAGATGTCTCACTGAAAGAACACAAGAAAACAGCTACACAGATTTTTTTTGGAAGGAACCTTTAAGTTTGCCCAACGAAATAAATTCCTTGGGTTCACGGTGATGGGGAAGTCTCTGGTCTTCCTCACTGTCATCCATATACCAAGCTTGGAGAACTTCCTCCTTGCCATCCTATAGTAATTAGATAAGAGAGAGCAATTATTTACAGCCAAGTAGATTCTTTGGTGATTTGTGTCCAGCAAGCGATATATGAGTGCAACCACCATCAACGTTGGTTAAATATATTCTTTTTTCAGAATGGAGAATAAAATTGTTCAAACTGTAATTATCTAAAGAAAAGCTTGCACTTGGGATTCCAATCATAATAACAATAAATATAAAATTCAAATATTCTTCGACAAAGTATGCTGAACGCTACAAGAAACTTATTACTACCATAGTCATCTAAGCATTAATTTAAACAAGAAACAGTAGCTTCACTGCCCTGAGCTGCCTTCTTCCCTTGTTCTCATTCCTGTTCTTCTTTCTCTCCTTTTCTCTCTTCATTCCTCAGCTCTTACATATATTCATTAGTAATAATTTTCTTCTTTCTATCTTTTAACTAATTTGGTGCATCTCAAATTCCAGAAAAATCAAACTGCTAAAGTATTAAGATCATATTATGCTGCACAACATCATTTATAATTATAGAAATTTTTTAATCTACATCAAAAATTTTCGGAACAGCAGAAAGCAAAGGCTTTGTTTCTTTTCCGTTCAGTTAAAATCCACCAAACCCTCATATAGGTCGAAGTCCATGACGAACAAGCTTCTCTGACAACCTTTGAAACAACTGATATTGTGATCCTTAACCTAATGGTAGCGTCACCAAGACATCTCGTGCGTGTATCCAATTCAATGGATGGGAAGACTCAATTCAAACATCAAAGGAATAAGCAAGCAATCAAAACCAAGGGCGCTAACCTTTCACAAGCTCCATCCAACTTAGGATCACACATACACATCGGCAAAACCAGCCGGGGAAAAGATATCCGCGGATGAACATCCCAAACAGGAACTGACATCGACTACCAAAAAACCCTTATAAACTGAAAATCAAATGCAAAAGATTCGATCTTCTCATGTCCGATTTGCAACTTAATAAAGAGGTCGAGGGTAAAATGATTAAGACCTAATTAATCGAAAAGAAGAGCGAGGAAAAGGCTAAGATCAAATCCACAGACCACGATCGAAGGGAACAGAAATCGCGACGAGGAATACATAAGAAGAAGGACAAAAAGAACCTGAAACGCCGCTTCCATCTCTGCTGCTCCCAACCCAGTTCGAGGCCTTCATGCGAAGGCCGAAGTCCTCTAAAACATATAGAGAAGAGAGGCCGGTTCGGCGTAATCGCCAAATAGCACTTCATTTGTTCCGTCGGATTAGTTTAGTTAAAATGATACCGAATGTTTTCGCTCGCTGATGACCGTTCAAAGCGGTAGGATCACTCCACGTGAATATTTCAGACAAATGGATCATGTTTGTTTCGTGTCCTTGCGGAACATACATGAGACTTGGGAGGTGAGCGTATACGATTAGGAGTCGTTAATGTCCTGCACGTTAGAATCCAACTCCTCAACATCGTACCTTAGAACTCGACTTTCTTTGGTGGAGTTGGTCAGCTATGAATGAAGCCTTCTTTTAAGGAGAGGTACAGACAAGAATTTTCGTCATGTATAATGACCAAAAAAATAGGCTAATTATAAAAAGAAGGATTTTTTGGAAATAAAATCTTATCAAATCTATGGGCTGGTCTTTCTAGATTCACTGAACAAAAAATATTGAAGATTGTGATAGATAGGAGTTTTTCTAGGTTCACTGCACCGGTACATTCAGCTTTTTCAGTTGTAAGTTATCCCTTTTCTTTTAGGAAAAAAAATTGTTCTTTTCCATTTATAAGAGATGATATTATAAATTTCATTAGGCAAGAAAATGGGTAAAGGTATTTAAAAGTATTTAAAATGTTTGACACATCTTCATGCATCTCATTCATGTGTCATGCATACACGAATATAAAAACAATCAAAATATGTATTTTACTATATATTCTTTACGCTTAATATGTTTGTGTAAGATGAAGAAACATCTATAGACGTATATGTTTATAGAGTTTAATGTATTTTCTTTGTATATATAAAGTATCCATGCTTCCCAAAACTTCTCTTTTGCATATGATATGTCTATTCAAAATAAATAAATAAATAATTTAAAATACTTAGATGCATCCCAAAATGTGTCACTTAAATATGATTGCTGAAGGACATAAGATAACCGAAAGGAACAAAACAATCCAAAACATCTTATTTATGCATAATATATCTATCCATGATAAAAAGCATCCAAAGTACTTGGATCATCCAAAGATATCCTTTTGTGTATATTACATCTACCTAGTGCAAGTCCTTACTTTAAAATATAATGAAGACAAATAATACTATCATTATTTTTTCACGCATGCATCGATACATTCTCTCGTTAAACTAATAGTTACAAGAATTACGATATCTAAAAGAGTTTTCTCAGGTATATTTTAATAGGAAACTTTCTCTTTACGTTTTTGAAAGATTTCTCTCTTAACAATATTCCAAAACCGAATGAACTTTCTCTTTCCGATATGACAGTACTAGAAAATTAAACCAAATAGGATCAATTTCCTCAAATCTAACTCACGATCAAACTGTACCTTCATCAATAATATTATTGATACTACTGTCTTTGTGGATGGAGAAACGAGAAATGTTGCACACACTGTGGCAAAGGAAAGGAGCGAAGGTAGGAGACGCTCGCTAGCAGATTTTTCTTGTGACAAAGCAACGCCTGGTAATCTAACAAGTATAGTCAGGAGGCTTAAAACTTACCTCTCAGCCTTGGGTTTTCCTATTTACGCCATCATGAGATAATAATAGAGCCTGACCTGATGATAAGACCCCGAGTGGCATTCAGAACCATCAACAATGAAGAAAGGCAACGATCGTAGCAGCATAAATGGTATCACCTGGTTAGTCAGTCCTTGTCGTTGTTGCAGCCTGCTTTAAGGATGACGACAACACCATCAAGCACTGCATCAACTTCTGTTGCCATGATAAGATCGTTTCTTCATGATGTGTGATATGAACAGATGGCTTGCAAAACACACCCATCGAAAGAAAAAGGATACAACCTTTCAAACCTTATGTCAGCAACATGCTGTGTATAACCTGTTCAATGGGTCAAAGAAATATCACATGATAAAGAAAGAAAAAAAGCAAGGAAATAAAAAGGAACAACCAAACTTCAAACCTTCGTTAAATTGAAACCAAAGAGTGGCCAATATTTGCATGGATGAAATAATCCAACATCGAGGAGAATATAACCCCAAAAGGAAAGCCAAAAACTGGTGAACATGGGAAGGGCTTCGTACAGCAATTGCCTCAACCAGAAATGTGAAGCAATAGGTAGAATAATCAGTCACAGCAGCACTGCAATAAACAAACTTAAATCGTTAGCCTCTCTACAGTCGTTAAAAGATAATTGGGTCAGTCCACAAACTTGGATATCCAGGAAATATTGTGCATCCCAAACAATTCTTACAGAATACATCTCCTATAACTATAGAATAGCCGCAACTTTCAGATGAGGCCTTACAACAACCTACCATCAGATCTTCGTACTAGGCTTCAAGTACACGAGTTCACAGTACAGTCGAGGCCAATAAGATGATCACTACGAAACTGCATTCACCAGACCTTGATGCCCTCTGATAGCATACACTGCTATGATAAGCTGGCAGGCAGATTTTACATTCTTAGACTTGTAACCTTGATGCACTGAGTCTGGATAATGTTGGCATCTCAAAATCTTATTAATTGCCGAGGCGATGGTTGCCATTGCATATATATACAAATACAAATAAGAAACAAAACAAAACGACACAATCTCGTCGAATATGTCAAAATCTAGTGCCGGAGAACATATCAACTGGGTTATAAACATTATCATTGTGCTTTTACCAACATGCTCAATCAGAGTCCCCAAATTCAAAGGGCAGAGTCTGCTAGAGTAGCATCGCCATAAGTTTCGTCGTCCAAAAATTGATGTTAGGTCATAGGCGGATCCATCAATTCCCACCACTGTTAAAAACAGAGACGCAAACAACTATCAGAATTTGCATGTATACAAAACCAACAGAAGAAACATCTACTGGACTAAACTACCTTTATGCTAATCATGTCAAAGACAGATCATGATTAGCATCATATAATAATAAATATACTAAGATGTGATTCTTCTGAAAATGCTCATAAGTATAATTGGGAATGTCATGTTTGCTTCTCTATCTGTCTGCTTGCACAAGAATGTAGCTCATTGAAAAGAAATTGAAGGAAATGTGAGTCATTTGTTCAGTTGAGTTCATCAACAAAGAATATTTTATTTTTTTAGAATAGTAACTAACATGTATCTGACACCATCTTTTTTTTGAAAATTTACCTTAATAATAAGCTTCGATTTGGAACCAAGTGACCTCACATTGATCACCGGTCCTAATGTGATCAGATTATTCCAGATCCAAGCAGAATAGAGAATAGGGGTCGTAGACATAGGCCACATGATGTGCAGATCAGGTCCATCAGAAAATTAAAAGGGTCTATTGCTTGGGCACAACCAGTTTTCATGATATCACATCCTGATCAGGTCCCTGTTTTCATGATATCCATCCTGATCAGGCCCTCTAATTGCATTGGCCAGGCACAACCAGGTCGGGTTTTGTTCCATTTGCAATGAATTAGTAAAAGAATGAAGATGAAGAAAATGAAACAAACTAGCATTCCATTTCACCCGTGCAATAGTGTGGCAGCATTAGCAATAATGGCAAGATTGGCAAGTTGAGATGTTGAAGGATGGGGATGCTGCTGGAGTTGTTGATACATGTGCCTCCGGTGGGTCAAAAGGCAACAAGGAGGAAGCCATGGGAGAAAAGGTGGTCATCAATGGTAGGAGGAAAGCTTATGTTTGAGCTTTTCGTGTTAAACCAAGTCAAGGTCCATTAGCTTCAGCTCCATTACTAGTCTGTACTGAACAGCAAATAAGGAGTAGAAGGAAGTAGCCAGATTATGCCAGATCAACCTAATTGGGCCAATAAAAAATACAGATCAACCTGATAATCTACCAGAACTTTATTGAGCCATCCTAGCGTACATCAATTTTAATTGTGAGCTGCATAGATAGTTCATGCCGTTGATCAGTTAATTAAAGGTATACACAATCTTTTTTACCTAAAACATATTCTTAGATCTTCCTCTACATTTCCTAGCACCACTATTCGACATACTATATCAAAAAGCATCAAAATCCACGTACAGAAAATATCTTGAAACATATCCAGTGGGAAAAAATAAAACATGAAAAGAATGTTATTACTACTCTTATATTATTCTGCATATTAAAACGAACTTTACCAAAAGATTCTTCAGAATACAAGAGGGTGGTGGACGAGAGAGACCCAATTAATCAGATGAGACTAGTCCATGAGTTATGAGTAGATAGTGTAAGGCAAGCGCCAAGTTCTTCTCTCATCCTGTAAGTAGAATTGCACTAATTGAAGGGTGCTTTTCCCATGTCAAAGCATTGTGCCTATAGCAACTATTATAATACTCACCGTCATCGTTGAGATCAAAGAAAATTTTCTCTCTTTGAGTTTCATTTTCTGCTGGGCTACACTTAGCTGGGGATTGAGGCTGTTGAATTAGGGTAGGAAAGCTTGTGTCGCATGGGTTTGGAAGCTCATTTTGGTTTGGACAACTCAACTTTTGGTTGAAGCAAATCATCTCCATATTTGAAGAAGTCGGTCCCCCAATAATTTTCTTGCCCTTAAACCTTCATAGAAGAAATGGTTATGGAGTTTCTTTATCATCAAAGATCATCATGTGGGTTCAGCTAACAAGTAGTATACTTTCTGTTGGTAAATGACCATACCTGTCTTTCCTTTTCTCCAAGTATCTCTGCAATGATGCTTTTCTGCTTGTTGGGCCCTCTGTTGTGGTTAACTCCAGCATTAGTTTCAGCTAAACATAGTTTCAAAGCAATTCATACCGACACCTACATTTTTTTTTTGACAACTACATTATGAACTGCCTTCACTTCATCTCTCTTTTATCAGGTCTAGTTAAGTATTTGTTAAGAGCTACGCAAATAAAAAATACAATTGGCAACATTTAGCAAATGGAGATGATGCTTGCTAGTCTGGTACATATTAGCTTGGTTTCATAAATCAATCAAGATGGCCAAGTTTAACTTACAAAGTATCAGTTACCGATGGAAGTCTCTTTACAACAAATTACTTTAGCAAACCTGAAATGTACAAAATCCTCATAGCATGATCATATATGGGTTCATGTACACTACCTCCTAAGGAGGTCGATTGATGGATATGAAATTTCAGAGACACAGAAGGTTTAGCTAATTCTCCTGACGACTACAAGTGACACACAAAGTGAAAACACCAAACATTTTTTTCATGAACCTCATGTACGGGATATGTGGCGGTTCCTCTCTTTTTGCCCGTTTAAATTATCAACAATCTCATCAGTAAGACATGCAAGGACCACCAAAGAAGATGGAAATTAATGACCGACATTAATGATAATTTGCATGGAAAAGATTAATTTGATAAGTATCACATTAGTGGACAGTAAGGAGACGCCCGCAGGAACAATTAATTTTGTCTGACCCACCCATCCCTACGGACTGGCCCCACGTGAAGGCGACGCGACCTCTAACAGGAGCGTACCCCCAGTAGGGTCCGACAACGGGTCAAGATTTGTGTCGAATCGGTGATAAAACCAGAAAAATAGGACTCGCTAGTTTACGGGCTAAACAGCACTGCTCTCTTACCGGGCTCCGTTTCCCGCGGGACTCTGCGGTCATCCGAGCCGTCCGCGACACGGTGGATCATCGTGCCTGCATCAAAAGCCGTCCGATCAAGATCACAAGGCTGACGCTTGACCGGAACGAACAGTAGGAGTAGCAACGTTTACCAGCCGGCGAGATCGGGAAGGTCCCCACGAACGAGGGAGCGGTGGGGACCGGGGCCGGTCGGGGGAGACCCGGAGGGAAGCGGAAGGCCGGCGGCCGGGCCGGAGAGAATGCACCGGTCGGATCGTCGAAGCAGACCGGGCTGGCCGCAAGTTCCATGATCGACCTGGCCTGCGAGGGCAGCGCCGCCGTGTCAGTGTAACGTAACGATCGTTACGGTCCCCGTCTCGGGTCCGGCACGCGCTTTTTTTGATGGTGTGTTCTATTTACCTGATCGGCCGAGACGCCGTCGTATACGTTGACCATCCCGTCGTAGAAGATCGTCATCTGGCCGACCGGTACTTCCGCCGTCAACCTGAAAATGGAGCGACACAGACGGCGTCAACAACAAGTTGAAGGCTATCGGTTCATCCCCGCACAGAAGAGTTGTCTATGCGGAAGAAGCCAGGACGAGGTGTGGAGGGTCCTCCATCAACAGATGGAGACGAGCTCCTTTGCTCAATTAGGTGGGGTTCGTACGCGACGAACGCGCCGAGCCGTCGGATCAACGAGGGGGCTTTTGAGGGACGCGAGGGGGACCGCAAACATGCGCACGTTAGCGGCACGAGGGGATGGGGTTTGGGGGCCCTGTGGGATGCACAAGGAGACGAACCTGGGGGAGGGGCAGCGCTTCTCCGGCGGGTGGGGAAGGTCAGCTCCGGCAATTGGGGTCTGGCACGTCGGATTTCCGGCTGAATAGGGCGGTGGGATCGGGTCCCTCCTTCGATACGGCGACGGCTCCTTCGCCAGCGGCTGTGATCCGCTACCGCCCTCCTTCGGCGCGGGAGGAGGTGAGTCCTGGAGAAAGAAGCAAGAGATGGAGGTTAAAAGGAAGGGCACTACTACACAAGTACTAGACATGGGTAGAGAAGGAAAAGCGGATGACCTGCGGTGGCGATAGCGGCTCCGAAGGAGAAGAAGTGAGCAGCTTTTGGAGGATTCCGCCGCCAGCAGGGCAGTCGTCACAGCCGGGCCGCCCCTCGAGAAGGGCCTTGAGAGAGATGACCTGCTGGATCGCCTGCGACTTGTTCCACGACGGCCGTCGCATGCCTGCAGGTTCCCATCAAGCCCCCCGTTGATTCCCCACCGCCAAATCAGCAACATAGTAGAAAGAGCGATCGCAGAGAGAAAGAGGGGGGACTGACCTTTCGCTTTGAGGAAGCGGCGGCAGTCCTCGCGGGTGAGCTGGGCGATGTCCTCCTCGGTGAGCTCGGCGAGGGGCTTGTCGAGCGGCGACGGGGGCGTGGTCTCCCCGGGGTTCATGGTGCCGGACACCGGCGGAGGTACGACGCCGCGATCACCCCGGGTTCCGGCGAACGGAGAACTCGAAGGTTCAGCGTTAGCAAGAGGAGGAGGAGGGGACACGGATCACATCACTCTTTTTACTCAAACTAACGATCTCGATCACAGGCAGCACCTAAAAATCTAGCTTCATTTTTTTGTGAGGCGGGTTTATAAAGGGGAAGAGAGAGAGAGAGAGAGGAGGTGGGAGATCGGAAGAACGAAAAGAAAGAAAGGGCACGGAAAGGAAATAAGAAATAACTTGAGGGACGAATGGTTTGGCCGCGGCGTCTCCCCTTCACCGAGGGCCGTTTCTTTCTACCTCATCCCCTGCCTGCAACCCCATGCGGCCACGTCAGGCGCTGCTCCCACTAATTAATGCCTCCTCACCTACTTCCCCGACTTGCCCCAATTGTCTGCCCCGATTAACTAAAATACCCTTGCCACCGCTGCATGTGAACAAGCAAATGACAGGCCTGGGTAATAAAAGTGCGTGCACTGCCGCATCATCGATGACATGATGCTGCTCGGTGGATCATCCGCATTCTTTTTATGTGAACGCCGTGGGCCGATCGTACGATGTGCTGAGAAAAGCGCGAGAAAGCATGACTCCTCCCCTCGCTGTGCGACGACGCTGAACTGTGGATTGCTTTGGAATCCGCGCCTTGAATGGATCTCCTAATGGCATCTGTATCAAGCGTTGCACATTTTACACCGTATGAAAACGTAAGAATCGACCTGTAAATTTCAGTCACTGCAAATTACAATCGCTGAGGCTGCAGTGCACCCAAACAGACTGGGGAGACGCTCAGAAAAGTTTCAGAAATAAAGATGAAGGTGAGTGGGGGCCGGTGGCTTCAGCGACGAGTGGAGGGAGACTGGCCCGGAGTCACATGCGCGGCTGATGGCGACCGTGGTACCACCCACACGCGGGCCCCGCCGACCCCCTCCCGTTCATCCGCCCGTTGCTTCACCCTCTCCGGACACGTGTCGCCCCACCGCGAGCGAGGTCCCCCATCCGACCGCGACCTCGCAGGCCCACGCCCACGTGGGAGCGTCCACCAACGTGTCGGTCGGACGCGGGGCTCCTCCCAGACGGACCGCGTGCAAACTCACCATTCGTACCCGCGCAGGCACCGGCCCGGCCATGGGTGGGTTAGCCGGCCCAATTGTGGGTTCCACGCTCCCACTGCCTCGAACGAGGAGGCTCCTACGGGAGAGCAGGTGATCGATGAAATCGCTGTCGGATTCGGATCGGACTGGAAAAACGTGGAGTTCGCTTCGCCACCGATGGGTGGGGACCACCACCGTCGGGCATGGGCGAGAGCGGTTCTTATTTGGTCGCATCACCTTCACAAATCACTAATAGGATCCAACGGCGAGGGTTTCACGCATATACAAGTGTGAAACAAAAAGTTTCGGACCTGTCGCGCCGGTTCTTCGTCCCATCTGCCGATTCAATCGGAACCCGCCATGGAACCGATGGATTTGGGGATACAAGCGAAACGGATTGGGTTCGGATTTTATAGGAGTTGTTGCTTGCGAGACGGGAAGAGGCGGGGAAAGAAGGAACCATCTCGATTCATGCACCAATTCCCGAATCCTTTACTTGGATAGAGTGGCCCACCTTGCGGGGCTTTTAGCCGGCAAGACCGTACGATCAACTGGCAACGCCGGGAGGAGGGGGAAACGTGGGGCTCTGTACTCCTCACCTTGTGCCATGGCAACTTGGCAGAGAGAAAGAGAGAGAGAGAGAGAGAGAGAGAGAGATGACGCTGTTTGCCACTGGAGAGTGGGGTAGTAGGGCCCGCAAGACGTAGATTTCATGGGTGAATCGATGTGGTTGATGGACGGGGTTGCCCCTCCGTTAGCTCCGTCTGTGGCACGTCAAACTTGATGGGGGCTTCTGACACAGCCACGCATAAGGACTGCTCCCCTCCGTTGCATCGGAAGTCCATAAAACTAATGCACGAGCGTGCCGGTATGCAGGGATTTGCATGTAGAGTGGTTCCATCGAGTTCGATCCAAACAGAGGATGTGTTTGGACTCGATTCGAGGGTTCATTGCAGCAGCGATAGGGCTTGCGTTTTAGGGCTGGAGCTCATGAGGTGGCCCGAGCTTAATGTTTGAGAGTGACATAATTCATATAAAACATCCCAATGCTCAGTCATAATTGTGCATTTACACAATCAACTTTGAGTTTCTCCGAGAAATAATTGCGAAATCATGAATGTTGTTGGTATGTTTATGTTTCAAGTTTAGAGTAGAAATCATGACCGTTCGGTGGGGTCCGGTTGTAATGAGAAATTGGACTGTAATGATTGTTCTTTCTGCCCCCGCTTTTTATTCTGCGAGAGCGAGAGAATGAATGACATCTAATTTGAATGTTTTCTAGTTAGGATTTGGGATATTTCCTCAAGCAACAAAACTATTATAGAGATTACCTTTTTATTTTTGATAATATTTTTTTTTCTCGTCCTTAAAAGCAAAACATTCTATGCTTTATGTGGGTCTCTCGCCAGTACTAAATCCTCTTCTTGAAGTAAATAGTGGTGACATTGTTTTCTTACTATTGCTTCGCAGTACTCCTGCACTGACTGATGTCCAACAGCTCAACCAGAAGCTGAAGAAGACCCGCGATGCTAAAGCATCCAAACCATGGCTTTGATCGTTTCACCCTGAAGCGCTGAGAATGAGATGCATCTGCATGAATACATTTAGGTTATTGTCAGAGTTTATCAGGATTGTCTTGACACCAAAGGCTTTAATTTGATCTTGATCTCATCTGCATTTATTAGAGCGAAAGCTCTACCAGCAAGCCATGTGACGATGGGAAGAGGGGATGGACTGCTCATGGAGACGGGACCAAGCAATGTGTCTCTATCATCCCCCCACTGATGCCATTTACCCGGAGCTCTGAAAGCAGAGAGATAAACGTAAGAAGAGTCTAAAAACTAGAAAGCAACAGGTTAAAAAAGCATGCAACTCTGCAAAAAGGAAAGCAGGAGACCGAATTCAAGCTTCTCAATTCTCAGAACAGGATTGTGATGCAGAGTCACCGCTCTTGACTGTCAAATCGACGGCGGATATGGATGGGAGCCCCATGCCTTTCGAGTTCAGTGGTCCATGAGAGAATGTCTCTGAGGGGACAAAAGCAGTGACAAGTAAAATGATATCATGATACAAGAGAAAGAAGTTCACTGTTACTGTATACATAGGCCATTCCAAGCACACTTCAACCGTAGTTCCAAAGTTACTTTGGAGGTATACATACATCTTTTCTTTGTGGAGAGATTTGAGGACGATGACACTGGGAAAGGGCCAAGCATTGCCCGAGAGTAGAAGCCTCTCTCTCTCTCTCTCTCTCTCTCTCTCTCAATGCTTGATATGAAAGCTAAGTAACAAGCGAGGAGGCCTCAAAAAGCAAGAGAGGAGGGATGATGCTTTCCCAAAAGTACGGATCAAAGATCTTCTTTGACCGATCAACCCCGCCATTGGATGATCTGGTTTTGGAGATTGGAGACATCCCAAGGCATGGATTTCGATCGACGCTGGAAGGCAAGACCTTTTCCATGGATACTGGTATCTACTTGTGGTCCTATGATAAGACTTAGCTGGTTGATCCAATTCCCCACGTCTCTCATTGCACAAGCGATGAGGCAATGGCAGCAAGCTGCTCTCTCTCTCTCTCTCTCTCTCACTGAGTTTTAAGCTTCGAGTTCTTGTGGAGGTAATGCCCGAGTATTTAATCTAAGCAATTTATATTCTCAATAAAAAGAAAAAAAAAAAGGAAAAAGAGAAAGGTGATCTGTAGAATAAAAGAGAAGTAAATTGTGTGAGCTATGGGAATGCTGATACTAATGATTAGTGCATGACATGGGCCGATGTTTTATGCAAGCTTAGTTGTCCCTTTTCGATGTCTCACCATATTCATCGGCACACTCTACTCTCAGACATTTGCTGGTTGCAGTGTGGCACCAAAATATTATGGAAGGATCCAAGATTTGTATTCTATCTGAGACAGTTGCAAGGTGTTACTGCTCCAATTAATCTTGGCAATCAGTAGAGACCATGGAATAGCACCCAAAACAACACTAATACAAGAAAATCGCAAGCTCTTGTTGAATTAAGCTTAGGATGTTTTGAGTGGTGGACAGCAACAGAAAACGAAGAACAAATGGCACTGTTTGCTTCAGGAGCTTATGTGTTTCAAAGAACAAAGTGCTTTGTTTGTTGTCCAATGCCAAGTTGGCATGTCATGGAACATGAAATCGATCCAGATGGCCAAATAGAAGTAGTGCTGGCTGCCATGTCACTGTACACCTGTTCCTTGGGACTCATGTTAGATTGTCTTGAGGATCTTAAACTTGACATAATAGAAGGTCAAGCTTAGCTTCATTTTGTATAGTTAAGTGCAAGTGATTCCGGCTGTGGTGAGCGAAGGACATGGCTTGATGGCAGGTCAGATAAGTTAGCAACAAATGAAGTCTTTTTATGCCCCAATCATATAATCTATTGCTGTGCTTGATTACTAAACCCATGCTTTTTGGTGAACTAAAGACTGTGCCATGAAGTTTGAACACACTATCCCATGGTGTTGAATGCTTGGGAGTTGGGGGAGGAAACCAAGATTGTGCATGGCATTGTTTGACGATTGCTTGGGCAAGAGGAGTTTTAAATTAGGAACAAAGACATGATTGGCTCAGAAGAACAAACAACTACTGCTCCTGAGACCATTAAGACAAATGTGAAGAATCTGTATGCTGCAGAGCATCTTATTCATGATGTGCATACTCTTAGTTTCCATTGCTGACCTCTAACACTTGTTCTGGGAAAGTTTTTTGTCCACTCTAAAACTTCAACATCACCTTCAGCAAAATTTGATCTTCCAAACTATTAAGATGGAGGTCTGCTTAGTATCTTTTTCTTCTGATGCATGTATAATGAAGTTGATCAGCATTCCTCTCTCTGCTCATTAAAATCAATTTTGTTGTATATGTTTCTCCCACCAGGAAGAACAAATAGAGACCAATAAGGATGCCAGATACATAGAAGTGCTTCTTCCATTAATGAGAAAGGGTGCTACATCCAATGAAGCCTAGTAAGTGGTAGCATTGGTACAATTTGAAGAGGTGAAAATTACAAGGAGACTCTCAGATCTAAGCAATTTGGCAAGTACTTGCATCCAAGTGATGCAAGACAGCAAATGATTATAACCAATGCTAAAATGAGTGCTCATGTTGTGCTGAACAAAGCCCTATGAAGAATGCCTCAAAAGACAGCCTTAAATTGTGACATGTTCCAACCCCAATGCTCCCATTCCATTTTTCAATGGCCCCAATTCCCTATCAAATTTCCAACAAATCTCATTTCTTCTCCATGCAGAAAGAGTAAAAGAATAAGAAAACCCCTGCTCATGTCATAAGCCCATTCATCACACCCATGCCCTGAAGATTACACAAAGACCCACAAGTTTCCTCAAATCAAAAGAACACAAGGAAGAAGAAAACTACTGTTGAAAAGAAAGGGAGGAGAAATTACTGAAAACCATGCCTCTTTCACACACCAACATCCATGCAGACACACACATTAACATGCAGGAAAAAAAAAAAAAGAAGAATTTTGGCTCTCTCTCTCTCTCTCTCTCTCTCTCTTCTCTCTCTCT